GCGGGTTGGCGGGAGGGGCATTTTCGCCCGTTCCTTGCCGCCCCCACGCTGCCGTCGCAGATCTCCCTGGCTTCGCGCAGTCTCCCCTCGCGACACCACAATCGGCGCCATGGAGTACCGCAAGCCACCAGTCGTTCGATTTCATGCATCGCTGCCCCCATTGGTGCCGCCTCGTCCTCCTATGCCTCTCGCGGACATCTTTCCCAATGTCGCTCTAACTCCTTCCGCCATCAGCGTGAAGCGGAAGCGGCAAGGGAACAACATCGTCCATGGAGCCGTGCCCGCTGCCACGCCACATTCTTCTGTCGTTCTCCCTCCCATCTCACGAGCACGCTCGAGGACGAGCGCCTCCTCCACCCCCTCTTGCGGACGACCGAAGTAGCAAGCCAAGGGCCCGAAAAAGAAGGCAATGGCAGCTCGAGGATGGGCGCCTCCTCCACTCAATCTGGCAGCCCATGTGCCCCGCGTCCCGTCAACCCCAGCGGCGTCCACAACGTGCACCAAAGGGAGGAAGAAACAAGAACAAGCCTGGTGGAAGAAACTTGGAAAAAGATAGGGTGAAGAGGTTGGCTTGAGGGAGCAAATTAGTGACATGGTGAAGGTCAAAGAAACCATGTTGGCTAAGCATTTGAAAACCAAGGTGGCCTTGGCCAAGAAGAAGAACCAACAAAAAGAGGCAAAGTGGGAGAGAAGATGTATCTTCGAGGAGCAAAAGTGGAGGGACCAGAATACCACCGAGGAAGACCGATTCTTGATGATGAATCCAGATGGCATGGATTTGATGTCATGGGAGTTTATGGAAATCATGTTACAGAGGAGGCAAGAGCTTCAACATCTTATGGTCGGTGATGGTGGCTTCGGCAATGGAAGTGGATATTGTGGTTTCGACAAGAAGGTGGTGGTGGTGGTGGTTTCGGGAATGGAGGTGCTAGTGGTGGTGCTTTCCACAATGGAGGTGTGATGGTGCTTTCGGCAATGGATGTGGTGGTGGTGATGCTTCCATCAATGGAGGTGATGGGATGACGCTTCGGCCAATGGTGGTGGTGATGCTTTGGTCGATGGACTTCGTGGTAGTTTCGGCAATGGAGGTGATGGGGTGGTGCTTTCGGCAATGATGGTGATCATTCTTCGGCCAATGTTGTTGAAGAAGGTGGTGCTATGGTGGTGGTGGTCGGGGTCATCTTGCCAACAATGGTGTTGCTTGGTTTGATCCCGTTTAATTGTGCTTGATTGCACATTCTTTTGGACAAACTTGCTACCTTACATATTGTGCATTATTTCGGATGTGAACTATTGTCGTATGAGTTTTTATTCTGTGCTCTGCATCTATTATACAAACTTATAGTTGATCTCAATATAAAATTCAAAACTGATATGCGGTACCGCTTGGGCTCTGGAACTTGCGGTACGAGTTTACGGGATCTGTTCCGCGCTAGCTCAAGCGGTACTGCAAATCAGTTTTCAGGAACCATAAACTCATTTTGCGGAGGCCGTTTTGTGGGATCTAGAGATGCTCTTACCTAGAAAGTTGTTGGCTGGAGGAAAGCACGTGCACGTGCATAAGAATTATTGGGTTGGATCTTACTCTATCAAGTGGGAAGAAAAAGAAGTCATTAGAGTAGAAAGCTGAGGATTTAATAAAAAAATTGTGGG